GCCTGCCCTGCCCATGCCCCTGTGGCAGCTCACCTGCTGCAGGTCCTGTTTCCCCGCAAGAGCCAGGGGAGCTGCTGGGCTGTCAGGCAAGCATGCTGGCTGCCCTGCCTCAGTGGAACCATGCTGGATGGAGACTCAGGCTGCCCATGGCTCTTGCCCCAATTTCTGGCCTGAGACATGGCCTATTTTAAAGCCACCATGATGTTTTGGCTTTTTCTACAGAAGAATGACCTCAACAGCTAACTTAAGTCTCCCACACGACACTGGCCATATCCATGTGATTCTCTCAGCAAGAAATTCTTACCCTCCTGCAGCCACAAGTTCCCATTGAAAACTCAACAAAGGGATGAGAAGCTGCAGTAATTTGGAAAAACAGCACTAAATAACCAGGCCACTGATGGAGAGTAAAACTAGACAAGGCAAGTGAAAAGCTGGTGAAAATATGCAGTATCCTTGTATGTTGGGGAAGATGAAACAGGAAAGCCTTAGAAATATGATTGTCTGGCAAAAGATTTTGAGAATATAGAAACTACAAGTGAGATTGAAATGAAAGCAAGGTTTGAGATCCCTTAGTTAACTGGAAAACAATGGTGTGGCTGGCTAGAAGTAATCCCCTTTTGATGGAACAAGATCCTCTGCTTGCAGACAGGTCCAAGGGTCCGAGCAGACCCTGCCAGCTTGGCAGAAGGGGTCCAAAGAGTAATTTTTAGGGTTTAAAATGTAGCACAGTATGGTAATGTAGTGATTCTTATAGTCTGTATGTAAATGCTGTAGGATTTGTATATTGTACTAGATTGGTTAGTGAGAATCAGAATATTCAACACAGAAGATGATTTATTGTATTGTAACAGGAACTTCACTCTCTTACCTCTTGTCTCTTCACTGTTGCCTTTTACGTTCTTACCCCTTTTACTCTCTTATGCTTTTACTCTCTCACCCTCTCATCCTCTCTACCCCTCTCTTCTCTCGGGCCTGCTCCGAGCTGTGGCTGGCAGCTCCCAGCAGGGCCCTGCACCCACACCCTCTGCAATAAACCCCAAATTCCACGACCTGGCTGCAGAGATCTCTCATCTCTGTCTGTCCCAACCGTCCTACCCCTGTCAATCTTACACTTGTAGAATGTTGTTTTCCAGCCTCTCTTCTGCCACATCGTCATACTCCATGTCCAGCTGCTCATCAGCTCTCCCTCAGAGGTTTCACCTTGGTCCCCACACCACAATCTAGCCACAGAGTCTTTCCAAAATCCATGCAATCACCTCCTTGTTCTTGTCTCACATGAACTCCAGTTAGGTGCAAAGTATCTTAAGCTCAGTCACTCTGGATACTTCTTTGTGGAATGTGCTCTGAAAGTGCATGAATGATGTCATGCCATCACCTGTCTTATTCCAAAAGTTCAGGCTTATGGTCCCCTCTCAGATGTTAACCACAAACTGCAGGTAGGGCGAAGCACCTTGTCACAAAATGTCATGAGGTGTCTGGCTGTGATGCTCTCCACACTTCCAACTGCAAGGTGCTGGCACCAAACACACAGCGAATAAAAACCCCAAACGTGCCATTCCATGACAGATACAGCTGAGCTTGGGGTGGAGGCTGTGCCACGGGTATGTGCTCTCACTTCATTGGCATTCAGCCAATATTATCTGGGATTTTGATTTTACCAGAGCCTTAACTTGGAGCACATTAAATACAGCCCTGTAGTTCCTGGGACACAGAGGCAAAACTTTTCCTCACCTCAGAGAGGAATTCTGATGTAGAAACAAAACTATCAATGTGCATGAAGGGGCTGTCCACACCATTTAGTGTCCACTTCCCTTGTTTGGCTGAATTGGAAGGAGCATAGGACTAAGGAAGAGGACGGTGTCCCTGTAGTCTACCCTTGAGGGAGCTCAGAGGTGTGGTTTGTAACAGGGAACTGTGTGGGGAGTGAACTGGATTTTTTTCCGTGGGTGGAAATTGCTCTTGGAGATGCAAGCAGGTGGGATTTTGGTTGGGGTAATCATCTAGCAGCTACCAGTACTAACAAACTCCACTCTTGAGAGGCCAAGGCACAGAGCCCTTGTGCAGGGAACAACTCTGCAGTGCCGTGGTGGTCTCACAATCAATGACCTTAGTGTCAGCAGGATCTGAGCTGAAAACTTTAGACAGAAAAAATGATAACTCTAAACTTTGTCGCAGAGATAAAAAGAAAGTTCAAGTGATAGATTTTGTATGGGTAATATTATGTAGATATCATGCATTTTTTATTGTATTATGAACTTCATTATGGTGTTTTCTATCTTACTTACTCTTGTCCCTCCTGCAACATGATGAAATCAAAAGAAAAAACAATGCTTCACAAACACAAACACCAACACCAACTGTTCTGCTCCAGCAACAGGCACCACTTGACTTACAGATGGAGGAAATTTGCAGTCTAAGACCCAAGAGGGTTAGTTGGAGTTTCATGCTCTACAGAGCTCCCTCCCCATGGGAACTGGTACTCAAAAGAGACACCAATGGTCAACACAAGATATACTCCTGCTCCCAAAGTAGAGGCTTGAAAATGTTTTTAAACTTTAAAGTGTTTTATGATAATGTCAGATTGAGAGTAGTCTCCAGGGCACTATGTTATACAACTAACACTTCATTCCCAAATATTGGCACCACAGTTTAAGCTGTGTGATGTGGAAAGGAGAAGGGACAAGAGCCAGCACATGCTGTTTGGGTATCCATTTCAGTTTGCTTTGGGCTCTGCCAAGGAAAGTGCTTACTTGGGAAAGGATTTTCAACACCAGCAGGGAGGGCAAAAGCAGCTGTTCAGCACACCACCCGTCCTCAGCACACACCTCTTTCATTCCCCATCCTCTGCAAGTGCAAAGCAAAGCACGATCTGACTTTGCCCTCTGGAGGCATGGAATTGGCATGGCACAGAGAGACACAGTCCCAGAGGTGACTGAACTACAGCGCTGCCTTTTGGAACATCTGATAGGAAAATCTATTCCCAGCTTCAGCTTCCCACAAGCCAGAAGGCAGATCATTACTGATAAGGCAGCTTCATATCAAAGGAGATGGGTTTTGGTTTGTACAGGGTAATACTACCCTCATCTGCTGTGCAATTCAAGAATTGGTACAGGATGGTTGGTTTTTTTTCTCTTGACACAAACTCTGCAGCATGTGATTTGAAATTCTGCCCAGTGTCTGCATCCAGCTACTGGACATGCTACACGCACATGTGGGTCCACAGCAAGTGCCACTGCATGGTTTATTCTGCTAGCTCCATAGGACTTTTTGCTATCTCCCAGATTATTGGGAAGCTGCAGAGATAAGCAGGTGGTCGGTGGCTCCTGGGCCCCTTATTTAGCTGGAAAGTAGGGCTGGGGTTTGTTTGCTGCATGGAAATGGATATTCTCTCTCTCACACACACATACACACACAGAGACCACACACCAGATTTTTCTCCAAGCAGATAAACAGCTCAACAACTCTGTTGGACACCTCCAAGCAAGCTGCGTTTCACTAGGATAACCAGCTCTTACCTCCCCTTTCTCTCTTAAAAATAATTTGTGTAATGCCCAAGAGGGCTTTGGTAAAGCTTTTCCTACAAAGATAGGTTCAGCAGGGCACTCAGGTTCTGGAAGAACTGGCAGGAGACACCAAGACATGATCAGGATCAGGTGTATACAGCCGTGCACAGCACCTGCACACCTGTGCATATCCACCTCTCTGCACACACATCTGCCTTTATCTGCTTCTTGCCTACATGCCCACATGTAAGCCTCAAGTCCAACCACAAACCTGCGTGTCCTGGCATTTTTTTGTCCACACATTCACCTGTCACAAACTTGACCCAAACTTGACCCAAACTTGACCCAAACTTGACTAGTGGCACACCCAGAAGCTCTCACTCACATCCTCACCCCCACACCAGTGCCCTTGCACACCCATGTACCCATGCACGTGCACCCTGCCATGCACACAGGTGCCTGCACACCTGCACACACTTTTCTTCTCACCTTTAGGACGTCCGTCCTGCCATCTCCTTTATATTCTGGCTTGCAAGGAACATCACGCCAGCAGGTGAGGAGGCTGTGCTGTCCCCAGGCCTGAGGGCATGTGTCACAGGGGTTCAAGTCCTGGGCAAGCATTCCTCACCAGCTGGCACACTCGGCTGGGTTTTGACCCTCAGCCCCAAGTATCTGAGCAAACATGAGGGAGCTATGTCCCAGCATTAGCTTGTGGAGAGCCTGGCATCCTTCCTGGTTGGATCGTGGTCCTGTAGCATAAGCCTCAGGGACAAGCAGGTCAGCTCAGGGGCACGGGAGCCTAGCCCTGGGCCAAATCGCTGCTGGGTACCAGCTAGGAGGGCTCTAACCTGAGTGCATTATTCTACTTAGCACTCGGCAAGCAGACGGCGTAGCCTAAGCCCGCACTTACTATCTCTCCCCACGCAGATCTGTCACCGGTTGTTTTTTTTCCAGCCTAATTTGTTTCGACAGCTTGATTTCCGCAAAGAAGCGTTGGATTCCCTGGGCTAAGTTCCCCGGGGGCGACTGTCCGACGCGGACCGGCAGCATTCCCTCCCGGCAGCGGCGGCCGCTCATCGCTGCCACCTCTCCCCGCCCGCCGGCCCCGACGGCGGTGAGCCCTGCGGGGAGGCGCGTTAAATGCCGTGCCCGGACATCCGCACCGGGATCCCGGAGACATCCAGCTTCGCTCGGTGCTCCGCAGCTGTGCGCTCCCGACGGCGGCGGGTCCGCGGCGCCGCGACGGCGTTGGGGACCGGGACCAGCGGCGAGGGGCGGGAGGGGGGTGCGGGCAGGGCGCTGCTCCGACCCGCAGCGGCAGCGGCGGCACGCCCGGCCCTGCCCGCGCCTCCCGGGCGGCGGGGCGTAGCAGGGGGAGTGCCGGCCGCCCGGGCGCGGAGCCGCCGGACACCGCCGCATAAAAGCCGCGGTCGTGCCGCGCTGCGCTCCCTCGGCTCGGCTGGGCTCGGTCCGGGGCGGAGCCGCTCCGACGGCCACATGACAGCCGAGAGCCGGCTGCCTCCGGGCCCCCCGCCGCCGCCCCCGCCGCTGAAGGCGGACGCGGTGCCGCCGGGAGAGGAGGCGGCGGCGGCGGCGGCGGCGGCGCGGGGCGGGCGGCGGCGCCGCAAGCGTCCGGCGGAGCGGGGCAAGCCGCCCTACAGCTACATCGCCCTCATCGCCATGGCCATCGGGCAGGCGCCTGAGCGGCGACTGACGCTCGGCGGCATCTACCGCTTCATCACCGAGCGCTTCCCCTTCTACCGCGACAGCCCCCGCAAGTGGCAGAACAGCATCCGCCACAACCTCACTCTCAATGACTGTTTTGTCAAGGTGCCCCGGGAGCCCGGCCGCCCCGGCAAGGGCAACTACTGGACGCTGGACCCTCACGCCCGCGACATGTTCGAGAGCGGGTCCTTCCTCCGCCGCAGAAAGCGTTTCAAGCGCAGCGATCTCTCCACCTACCCGGCCTTCCTCGCCGAGCGCCCCGCCGCTCCGTGCCGCCTCCTCCCGCTGCCCGCCCCGCCGCCCCCCGCCGACCTGGCCCCGGCACCCGCCGCCGCCTCCTGCGCTTTCGCCGCCGCCTTCCCCGCGCAGGGCTGCGCCTCCGCCGCCCTGCCCCACGCCTACGGCCCGCTGCCCGCCGCTCCCGGGCCCTATGCGCCCGCGGGCCCCGGGCCGCTGTACGCGCCGTCGGGGCGCATCGTGCTGCCCGCCTCTCCGCCCGGCCCGGCCCCTCTCTACGGGCGCCGCTCCCCCGCGCCATACCCGGCGCTGCCCCCCGCCTACGGCGCCGCAGGGCAGCTGGGTGCCGCCGAGCCCGCGCCGCGGCCCGGCACCTACCCTGGAGGCCCCGGCAGGTTCGTCCCGGCGCTCTGACCTGTCCCGGAGAGGCCCGACAGAGCGGACCACAGCCCGAGAGACGGCGGAGTGCGAGGGTGACCCGGCACGGCTGCTCCCGGCGCTGCCCGGGAAGATGCTGAAGAACCTTGGGCTGCACCTACGCATTCTGCCATCTGCCCAGGCTTCCTGGCGAGGATGTCACCGTCAGCCCTGGGGACTTGGGGTGCCCTGTCCAGCCCTGTCCGCTCTGGGCAGAAAAGTCCTAGGCACTGACAAGTGCTTGGATGGGGCAAGCAGTCTCTTCTTCTTCTACAGCCTTTCCTGGAGCAGGTGCTCAAAGCTTGCTGCCAGACTCCCCCCCTCCCGGCACACCCAACCGGGCCCCTTCTGGTCTACCCAGGAAGATTTCACGTTTAAAAGTCTCTCCGCTGTTGATGATTCTTTTAAAAGAGAATTAAATGTCTCTTGGTGAGGTGAAGGAGGGAGGCAGGAGGAATCATTCCCTGCCCTCGTGCAGGCAAAGCTGTAAAAGCCGAATGCACTGGCACTGATGGGGTGGCATGTCCCTGATGGCTATTGCTTTAGCCCCAGGCTTTGCACCAGCGGTGTGGCCAAGGCTGGAGAAGGTTTGGATGCCAGGGCTGCAGAAAAACACATCAAGTGACATTCTTGGAGGTGTTGTGCTCTGTGCTGCAGGGGTGGGATTGGAACTACAAAAATTTTACCATGAGCATGCCCAGCCGCTGGAAGAGGGACACAGGGAGGCTGTGGGACCTCTGCCCTTGGAGGCCTTTCCAACTTGATTGGACGGAGCCTGACCTGCCTCTGAAGTCATAGCCAACATTGAATCCGGACTTGTTTTGACTGGAGACCTGGTCCTGAGGTCTGCAGAGATACTTACAGCGTAAATTACTTTGATCCCAAGATCAGCCCAGCTCTGTCTGTAGCCTAGAGAAATTGGCATATATAGGAGAAAACTTCTGTTTCTGGAACACAAGAGGCAGGATACAGTGCCTTTTCATCTTCAGTTGCTCCACTTTCAAACTTTCTGGGGATGGAAAGGAGTCTGAAGAAAGATATGGAGAGGGAACAACTAATAGGAATGTCTGTGAGACAAAAGCTTGAAACTAGATCTGTGGGGAAACTCAGGCATACCCCTCCCAACAGATCCTACCACCCTGGAAAGGGATCTGGAGCAGGAGTGTGTACCCAGGGCTGTGCTTGGGGCTGTGGGTATAGAGGGAGCCGACCCAGCCCTGCTCCCTGGTCTTCTTATACAGCTTCTTTTTCCCATGGAGTGGGGAACTTCCCTCCAGGGCCAAGAGGAGGCTGGTGAGAAGATCCTGCAGTGTGGTGAGGCCTTGTATGGGGAGAGGAAATGAGAAAGTGCAGCCAGAACCTCAGCAGGAGTTTTGGAAGAATAGACCGGAGTCTCCCTTACCAGAGAAGGGTATAGAACTACATGGTATAACTCAGGTTGGAAAAGATGTTGGGAAAATTCTGTTCCAATCTGCTACCCAAATCAGGGTCAGCTATGGCTCAGACAGTAGGCTCGGCCCTATGTTGTTGAGTCTCCATCACGTCCAAGGATGGAGATAGTACAGTCTCTTTGGGCAACCTCGCTGTCCTTGTGGGGGAGAAGTTTCTCCTTGTACCCTCCATTTAGCACTTCTCTAGTCCCGTCTCATGTTTACTGTCTCTTGTCCTACTGCTGTGCTTTGCCGCCAAGAGGTTTTGATCCCATGCAGACACCTGTATCTTCTGCTCTGCATGTTTCAGATGAGGCCCTCAGCAGGATGAAATCTGTATAGAGGCAGCTTTCTTGCTTTCCGTGGGTGCTGCAGTCCACATATCCAGGTGGGACATGAGAGAAGAAATGGAAGGGAGAAGGAAGGTGGTTGGGTGTCCTCACAGCACAGCTTGGTGTGGAGAAGAGTAAAGCCCTCTGCAGTAGGTGGGCAGGAGAAGCTGTACATTTGCCTTCTGCGGGGCTGTGAGGTAGGAGATGAGTTTTGGATTCAAGGGTTCAGAGTGCCAGGGATGGCACGTGGTGAGGCTGAGAGTGACCTGAGAGCACTGCCCTGTGTCCGTGCAGACCTGTCTGTGGCAGTGCAGGAAGCTGTTGTCCATACACAGACAGACCTGGGGAGGCTGCTCCATGTGTGAAGCCAGTGGGGGGCAAGCACAGACAGCAGGTGTAAGCACCACTCAACTCTTTGGTGTGCTGAGCTCAGGCAGATTTTTCCCTTCCTGCCTTTCTGAAGAAGTACGTTGTATCTTCCTTGTTCTTCCTGGTCCTGGCACATCCAGAAGCTGCTGCCATCCTGGAGAGAGCTGTCCCAGCCAGGGGCAGGTCTCCTCAGCCGCTGTGCTAACACCTCTCCCAACTATCTTTTCACCATCTGGAAGAGGATGTGTACACCTAACTGTGCTAGCTCCTAGCATTTTTGATAGCTGCTGGCTCTGCTTTCATTGCCTGCAAAGACTGGACTGTGTCACTTTGACAGCAAGCCATGCCAACCTCTTGCTCATTTTAGGGTAGCTGGGAGAAGAGCTGTCCTGCCTTTTAATGCCTTTGTTTCTTTCCTGTAGAAGCAGTTATCAATGTGGACCAGATAATTTTCATAGAACCATAGCAGTGCTGGGTTGGAAGGGACTCATCAGGATCATCAAGCCCAGCCCCTGTACCTGTGCAGGACACCCCAAGAACCACACCACGTGCCTGAGAGTATTGTCCAAATGCTTCTTGATCTCTGTCAGGCTTGGTGCTTGCTCCCTGGAGAGCCTGTTCCAGTGCTCAGCCACCGTCTGGGGTGATATCCAACCTGAACCTCCCTCCGTGCCTCCATGAATCTTGTCATAGGTCACGAGAGTGAAGAGCTTTGATCTCCTCTGGCCCTTGTTCCTCTCATTTTGTTCTCTGCTTCAACCCTCATGCCAGTTTAGAGTTCAGTCTTAAAAAAGGTCACCAATGATTATGATACAGGTTTTGGGGAAGATGCTTCTGAACTCAGCATCTGTAGGCAGTTCAGGGAGCAAAACTCAATGTCTGAAGAACAAGCCTGACAGATCTTGGTGACTTAGAAAACACAGACTGGGTAGGTTTAGTTGTGTGTTGTTTGCAGAGAAGGTCTAGATGCTTGCTCTTGTTTCTCTCCAGATCTTTTATACCTACAAACTAGGGAAACTGGGCATGTCTAGATGGTAATTTTTTTGCAACAGGTACAGTGATGAGCTTGCAGCCTTAAGAACCTGAAACATGGTCAAAAACTGCTTAAACTTTGGTTACAAACAGCTAGAAACCCTGGTCAGAACTGTGAAGAGCTACTGGGGCGACTCTATATCTGTGTGGGGTCTGTGCTTTGAGCTTTTTTTAGGCAAAATCAGCCTTTGCTAGTGCTGGCAGTGCTCCAACCTCCCGCCTGGAGACTCCAGCAATCCCTTCCCACCAGCACTGCTGTGGTTTTGTGGCTATTCCAACCTCCCTGAGCTGTCGTGTAGGCTCAGGTGCCAAGGGCGTGGGTCTGTCCAGGCTGTGCCTTGTGGCACTGAGATGTGCTGCCCCTGTGCCCACATGTGACACGGGACTGCCTGGCCACTGACAGAGGAAGATATGCTTGTCGTGTCCTTGGGGAGCCCTGGGCTTGGGTCTTTCTGTGAGGATATGGGGATATGCCAAGGGGATATGTTAGACAGCTGGATCTCAGTGTATACTTGTGCCATGGGGATATGTTAAACATGTGGATCTCAATGTGTTTTTGTCTGGGATGTTGCTTGCAATTCTCAGGCAGCATCAAGAATAAGAAAAAAATATGATTTCTGTAAAATTTTTGATTTATTGTAAATATCTAAGAGCCTTCCTGTTAGCAAAGTTACTCTAAGTTTCAAACTACTCTTTTGATTTCTGTCAGAAGAGTCCAATAAATCTAGATTGTAAACCTGTAGGAAACTCTTAAATGTGAGCACTGATAGAAGAGAGAGGGGCCTTGAAAATGTTCATTCCTCAAAGGACAGAGCCTCTCAGTTCCTCTTCTGCCCAAGTTCTGGTGTAGTCAGGCCTGAGCAGACTTTGAGAAAGAAGAGGACTGTACAGCCTAGCAGAACATTATATTCTGTATTTGAGATTTTTTGGGTGGTTTTTTTTTTTTGTATTTACTCTTCTACTTCACTTGAAATGGAAATAAATCTTTGCATTGTTTGCAATGAAGTGTCTCTGAGTTTACTCTTTCAAGCCTTCCCTGTTCTGCTGAGACTGGGAGATGTACAGAGACATGCGTGATATGTGCTGCTCATTGCTTTTTACCCTGTTTTACCTTGTATTTTTTTTTGGTCTGCTGGGTTGCTGAAGACATCAGATAAAGGAGGAGGGATGGCTCAGCAGGGCCAGGCCACAGGTGGTGTACCAAACCTCCACAACCCCTTGAGCCACCAGTCTGCTTTGAGGGTGTCCTGTCAGGCCATAAGCATGCCCAATATATCAATGCATGAAGCTCCATCCCAACCCTGTGTCTCTGCTAGAAAAAGGGTCAGGCAGGGAAGGCTGCTACCTGTGAGAGGAACAGGAGCTCAGAGATGGGCACGGGCATTGTGGCTGGCATTAATTACTCTCTGATGCTCCAGCATGGAGCTGGGCCAGCTAGAGGAGATGTTACTGCTGGAAACATTATGTTGCCTGTCCTGTGGCAGCAGCACCAGAAATGCTTGGTCTTGCCTCCTCCACCCCAGGCCAGTTATTTTTTTTGGCTGCAGAGATGGAGCTCCCGCAGGCGCGGGCTGACACTGTGCTCACCTTGTGCAACAGCAACATCTGTGGGAGCGATTCTATGGCTAATGGGGGTGTAACAGGCCTTCAGGGGCAACTCCACACTCCAGGATGATGAACTGGCTTGCACATGGGCAAGATGATGGCAGATGTTGCCCCTTCTCCTGCTGAGAGGGTGGTGACTGGCTTCCTAAGGGTGTTTGGGGATAGTGAATTCTGCAGTAGTTGCCCTGCCAACAGCCCAGGCTGCTTGGAGGGCAATAAATGAGATAGGAACAGGTAGTTTAATCTGCCAAGTTACCAAAGAGCAGATAGGAAAGTCTTCTTCAATAGCTTTGGGGTTCCCAGATAT